TGTGAGGTGTGAGCTGTGAGATGGAACTGAGGTGTGAGGTGTGAGGTTGAGGTGTGAGCTGTGAGGTGGAACTGTGAGGTGTGAGCTGTGAGGTGTGAGCTGTGGGCTGTGAGGTGTGAGGTGTGGGGTGTGAGCTGTGAGGTGTGAGCTGTGAGGTGTGAGGTGTGAGCTGTGAGGTGTGGGGTGTGAGCTGTGAGGTGTGAGCTGTGAGGTGTGAGCTGTGAGGTGTGAGGTGTGAGCTGTGAGGTGTGAGCTGTGAGTTGTGAGGTGTGAGCTGTGAGGTGTGAGCTGTGAGGTGGAACTGTGAGCTGTGAGGTGTGAGTTGTGAGCTGTGAGGTGTGAGCTGTGAGGTGTGAGGTGTGGGCTGTGAGGTGCGAGCTGTGAGGTGTGAGCTGTGAGGTGGAACTGTGAGCTGTGAGGTGTGAGTTGTGAGGTGTGAGGTGTGAGCTGTGAGGTGTGAGCTGTAAGATGTGACGTGTGAGGTGTGAGCTGTGAGCTGTTAGGTGTGGGGTGTGAGCTGTGTGGTGTGAGGTGTGAGGTGTGAGCTGTGAGCTGTTAGGTGTGGGGTGTGAGCTGTGGGGAGTGAGCTGTGAGGTGTGAGGTGTGAGCTGTGAGGTGTGAGATGTGAGGTGTGAGGTGTGAGCTGTGAGGTGTGGGCTGTGAGGTGGGAGCTGTGAGGTGTGAGGTGTAAGCTGTGAGGTGTGAGGTGTGGGGTGTGAGGTGTGAGGTGTGAGCTGTGAGGTGTGGGCTGTGAGGTGTGGGCTGTGAGCTGTGAGGTGTGAGCTGTGAGGTGTGAGGTGTGAGGTGTGAGGTGTGGGCTGTGAGGTGTGGGCTGTGAGCTGTGAGCTGTGGGGTGTGAGGTGTGAGCTGTGAGGTGTGAGCTGTGAGGTGTGAGGTGTGGGCTGTGAGGTGTGAGGTGTGGGCTGTGAGGTGGGAGCTGTGGGCTGTGAGCTGTGAGCTGTGAGGTGTGAGCTGTGAGGTGTGTGGTGTGAGCTGTGAGGTGTGAGGTGTGAGCTGTGAGGTGTGGGCTGTGAGGTGTGAGCTGTGGGCTGTAAGCTGTGAGCTGTGAGGTGTGGGCTGTGAGCTGTGAGGTGTGAGGTGTGGGCTGTGAGCTGTGACGTGTGAGGTGTGAGCTGTGAGGTGTGAGGTGTGAGCT